TTTTTTTATCATTTGAGTTATAAATTAAACAGTTGCTATCTAGAACGTGCTAACCCAGTGGTTCTCAACCTTTCTTGCCCTAAGCATGCATCCCTTTCACAATTCCTAGAAGATCAATACCCCCTCCTTTCCAAAACTCAGAAAATATGTATATACATTTATTTAGATACAGATGATTTTTTTTAATGTTTTGTAAATTAAACAACAGAGAGTGCAGAAAAGGTTGATAAATGCCAAAACTTGAATAAAAGTTGTTTTTTTATACACTTAAGATGAAACTAAATACTTAAATAATTCCTTAACTGTATTCAAAAGTTACAAAGTGGAAAGTTTTATAAATAAGTTTCTGGGTTAGTCTGTTTTTCTTTGAAAGAATTCTTTGGCACAGTTTGTGATTAGCTTAAATGCAGAACACTGTAACAAAATACTACAGAATTTTGTTATCTTATAGCTTCAGGGTTCTTAGCTAGACATTTTTAATGCTAGATGAAGCCCCTTCTCTAAACATATATTATATTCAGCAGTTGTTGAAACAACATCTTGCAAAAAAAGCTTAATGTATGTTCTTAAAAAGCTTAAAGTGTTACAAAATATGAAATCAATAATTATATTGCCAGCAATCTGCCAGACTTAAAAGGTAGAACTGCACACATCAACACAGTCAGCTACATTTTGTAATAAATTTGTTGCTCGATTTTGGTCATATGCATTCAGAAGTATTTTTAGTCTTCCTAGAAGTTATCTGGAACATATTTTTTGACTTAACAGTAATGATATCCAGCTTATGCTAAAGGCCATATGCCACTTACAGCAAGATTAAAAAAACCTACTATTATTGATTGTGGAGTTTCTGATGCTCGTAGATTTTAATAAGAATTTCTGACAACATGCAATACACATGTACACAATGCATATTTCTCATGGCATTTAGTTGATTTTGATTAACTCTTTAACCTATGCCCCAGTAATCTCACTATCTATTGCAAAGTACTATTCAAACAAAATGCAGTGAACCTTTTTGTTGTGCCCACCCCTGACAATTACTGTCTACCAGCATCTGTGTGAATATAAATTATATCTGTACTAAAAATGAAAATATAAGAAAAACACCTCAATGGGGAACCAGAATCATCTGAAATTATGGTGATCTTAAAAAAATTCACTAAGCAACTTGCAACATCAGCACTAATTTTAAATTGGCCATTCCTTGAACAAAAGGCCCACCAGCGGCTGAGTGGTAAAGTCGCTGAATACTGATAGTTTGGTCCGAGGTTCGAATCCCGCAAACGGGCGGGCTGCATGGGCGTTTTGGTGGTTTTCCCCATGTGTAACGTGTATACGAGCCAGTTTCCCTTAGAAAGTCCTCCAGGAAGGCATCCCTCCCCTTAGGCAGATAGGCCTAGTGTGCTTTGCCATAATTAAATACACCACCACCTTGTACAAAAGTTGATCATCACTGGCTTTATGATATCAGTAAATATTTTAGTACTTTTCCAGTTTGGCAGCAGTTAATAACAAATGTAAATATTTAAAAAAAAAAAAAAAAAAAAAAAACCTCTGAAATAGCAGTGCTAAACCCTAAAAAATATAAATCTAAAAGTTACATTATGCCCAAAAGGGTTTTTTTTTTTTTTTTTTTTTTTTTTTTTTGTGTGTGGTGTGTGTGGTGTGTGTTTGTTTGTTTGTTTTGTGTGCTGTTTTTATTTATTAAATATCAGCACTTAATCCATAAAATTCAATTCAACAGCAGTATTGCAAAATAATTTTAAAATGAGCATATCTTTAGAATTCCCGATACACACCTTGTGCGCTGGAGATAAAAATTGTTCCCCCCTACAGTAATGCCATTGCTCGCTTTGAAATCGTTGATTTTATTAAATTTAATAAAAAATTTGTTAGTGTTACAAAATATGAAATCAATAATAAAACAAATTTCAAATTCGGATCTCTAGATTCCAGATGCTTCATAGGAGGATTACGTTATTCAAAATTGGATTGCTCTAGGTAATGTTGTTTTATCACAATGCAACACATTTGATGGCAGCAGTTTGAAAAGTGAAGTAATGCAAAATTCCAAAACAAAATTAATAGCTCTTCTGGGCTAACAATTCACAATGCACTGTTGTTTTATAATATAATCATACATGAGTAAAGAGAGTGTTTACACACTTTTGTAAGGATTTTGCAAAGATTTTTATATAAACAAACCTTAGAATTTATTTTCGAATATGTTCAGCCTGATAGCCCTTTTGTTGAACTATCATATTGCATCTTGATTTCCAAGGTAAAAGTCCTTTTCTTAAAACATCAAGGATGATTTTATTCCACTCCTCCTTTATAATCTTTCAGACAATCCAATGTTTTGGGATGCCGCTTACAAAGAGCTTGTTTTAAAATTCCAAATGCACAATAATTCATAGGAAATATATCAGGGAATTTGGGTGGGATGCATTTAAAGGGAATAGCTTTAATTCTGGTTTCATTTCTCATTTTTTCAAAAAATAGAACAGTAGATTTTGACTGGAGTCTTATCCGGATGGAATTTAACCCAGTGAAGATTGTTTGGATAAAAAAATGGAATTTCTTTAAAAATAGGTGTTAAATCATATTTCTGATAGCAATCCAAATTAATTTTGACACTTTTTTCTACTTTCCTTATTTCAAGTTTTCTGTTATAAGACAATCCGGTAATAGCCATAAAACCTTTAGAAAAACTTTCCTTGTTTTCTCTGAACCAAGATATTAAGTCCTTTTTCTCCTCTTTTTCGGTAGTAAATAGATATTTTTCTATTGCAATTAGATAAGTATGTCCAAGTCTCATCAATTGTAACGATATATTTCCATTTTTCATCTGCCAAGTAATTTTCATATAGCAATCTGCATGTAGTCTTAAGGTGAAAAACATGTTTCGGCGTTTGGCAATGAACATCATGTTTTTTTTTTTTTTTTTTTTTTTTGATTAGTTTTAAATCAGATTTTATAATTTTGTCCACAATTCCTACAGAGATGTTTAAAGATTTTGCAATAGCTCTTTTGGGGGATGGATTTACCTTTAAAACATAAGATGTGACTTTAGATTTAATAAAAGCTGTATGTACCCTTGTTGGGTATGCATTTTTTGCCTTTTCCTCAGTAATATGTAAACTTTGACATTTCTTTCCTTTCATATGAATTGTGTTACAGTCAAATGTCGTTAATCCGGACTCGTTGGCGATTCCGGATTATAGATCATCAGTTTAAATCTGGTAAAATGGCATGCAGAAATTCTAAAATTAAAAATGTGAAACCATAATTTATGAAATAAAGAACAATTATGATCTAAAGGGTATCAAAATTTACAAAAAAAAAAAAAAAGCTTAATATTTATTTGTTTACTTTATTAAACATTTCTTTCAATGTAAATTGTTTAAGTTGCTTCGTTTTATGTGATAATACTTTCTCTTTAATTCTATAAACAGACATAATTTCTTGTTCAGTTACAAAGTTCTGCTGTTCAAGTCCCGTAATTGTTGTGCCGAGTATACCGGCTAACTTGTCAATCGAAATTTTTTCGTTTTCACTAACCTCTCTGTCACCTTCTTCATGTCTTTATCCATTTTTTGCAGCAATTCCACTTTTTGTTTGATGGACATCGAAACATACTTTCGTTTTGTAGATCCTTTGGGAGCTCCAGCATCGGAAATTCTATTTGACATAATGGAAAGTTCAAGTTTACTTTTATAAAATTGCTCTTACAGTCTGCAAAAAAAATAATAAGCCGGATCCAATTCGAAAATTAAGGAACAACGCAATCATCAAAATTAACTGAAATAGATAATTAGATAATTTTAGCTTATACCATCCGTTATACATAAAACGCGCGCGCGAAAACGTATTCTGCGCTTGCGCACATACATATGCGCAGTCGTAAAAATCTTACACGCACGCGTAAACGCCTATGCGCAGAAAGTTTTTAGCTTTGAGGTCCGGATTATGGGTGTCCGAATTAAAGACTTTTGACTGTACTTATTTTTTGTGTTTAAAAGCATGCTTTTTTATACCTTTTTAAATAACTGAATAAGAGTATTTCTCTTCGGACAGCGCAAAAATATAGCCTTTGATTCATTGTTTATTTTTCAGAGACATTTTAAAGAAAAACATATTTTTAATGCTGCAGGTGACAATTAAACCTTATTCCAATTTGTATTTTAAAATTAATATTTAAATTCATGGAGAAAATCAAAATCGTTTAAAAAATTTGTAAACACCCTCTGAGAAAAATATTACAGAATTTTCACACTTTAGAGAATTATATGAATATTTTGTTACACTTAACTATGTGATTCATTGATCCACCCTAGAATTTGGAAATGTGTCTTCTTTTGGCATGTTTGTGAGCTGCAACTCCATTTTCATGCTGGGCTAGTGTTAAAACATAACTTCTTCATATGGTTATTTGAACAAAATGACGGATGTATTTTGTCTTGCTGAAAACTTTTAAAGTCATTCTTCATCTTTTGGCAGCCACCAAATCAAAATATCCTCAAAAAGTGAACAAGTAGTCAAAATCTTGCATAAAAGGCATGTTTAGATTGAAAAGTAATGAGTCACAATGTTTGGCACAGTTTGCAGGGTAAAGTCACTAACATTGGTGCATTGCATTCTTGTAGCTCGTTCCCAGAAACATATGCTCACTCATTTTAATGACTTTGGATTCACTTGTCCATTCTACAAAAGTTTTTAAGCTTAATCTGATACTCTGTGTGTATTAATGCTTGATTTTTGTATTTATTATAGGACTTTGCATATCTTTCTAGGAAATATATTCCTTCAACATTGCTTTTTTCATTTAAATAAATAATGGTTTTGAAGCAAATGTAGTTTTCTGATAGAAATTTTGGTCATAGTCTAAAGACAAGATAGACTGAGTCTAGAAGATCTAGTAGACATAACTCTTAAGATTTAAGAAATTTGTTTACAATTTTTATTAAAATGTGTGTTTATTTCTGTTATTCCTCCAGACCAGTAACATTTAGTATAAGTGCCTTAAAGGGAGTTGATGTGCACTTTGTACTAGCAACTTTAGCAGATAGAGACACACAATCTGTATCATCAAGCATGTCACTTCTAAGGACTTCTGTTGCACAGTGCAGCAAGGACAGAGACAAGTAAGTAATTTTAACTTATTAAAAAGGGGAAAAAAATCAAGTGCAGTTAAAAACAACTGCATTAAACTGTAAAAATGTAATTTCTTTAACCATCGCAACATTCTTGGTCATATGTGTTAAAAATAAAATTATGTTTTTCTATAATCTGAAGTTTACAGATTGCTCTCCCCAACTGTTTTCTTTTACTTGCTTACATATTATAATTAATTTTCAGGCAGCTTGAATTAGATAATAAAGAAGAAAATGGTATTTCAGCCAATCATAGTTCTGATACTAAGAGCAGTGGAAATATTAATGCAAGTGTTCAAAGGTTACCCAAATTTGCTAAACAAATCACATTTAGTGATGATGATGATGATGATGACACTGATGATGATATTGTAATAAATCCAGAGCCAGTGCCAGCTGATCATTCGGACCAAGATGAAGTGCCTTCAACACCTCCACATAAAAAGGTATTAATTTTAAAATATATTTGGGAAAATGTTTCCATTTTTATTCAAGATATTACTTAAATCCATAAACATATAAAATTATATACATGCACACTATTAAAAGGTCACAATATTTCAATAAATACAGATTCGTAAGGCTCTTAATAGTATTTTGCTCATCTGACACTTCTGTCTCCTCTCCTCCCCCCCCCCCCCTTTTTTTTTTTTTTTTGTGTGTGTTGTGTGTGAGTTATTAGGACTTTTTTGAAACAGGAGACATGAAAAATGAGCAATGCCCTTGCCGGGACTCAAAATTAGGACTTCTCAAACATGCACCATTGTTGTTTGTGTTGCCATATAACTTTGTTGTTCATGATAATTATTCAGTCTCACAATCGGAGTTTTATATAGAAAAAATAAGGGCAAATTTGTACATAGTAATTTTAAGAAATTTTCTGCTACTTTAGAGTTTATTATTTTTACATAACAGTGTTTGTCATTATGAATAAAAATCAAAACTTACTGTGAATCAAGTAGGCTTAAGATTCTTTCATATTATAAAAGTCTATCTGCATCAAAAATAAAACTGAATGGTAATAATGTGTGTGTGTGTGATTATGGCAAAGCCTCGAGAGCTATCTGCCTAAGGGGAGGGATGCCTTCGTGGAGGACTTTCTAAGGGAAACTGGCTCGTATACACGTTACACATGGGGAAAACCACGAAAACGCCCATGCAGCCAGCCCGTTCGCGGGATTCGAACCTTGGACTGAACTACCAGTGTTGAGCGGCTTAACCGCTCGGCCGCTGGTGGGCCCCTGGTAATAATGAAATTTGGTAGCATAAATAGCAGTTCTAATACTTTTTTAAATTTTATTCAAATTTTTGTCATCTTCAACATTTTGTTATTTTTCTATTTCTATTATGTTCAATAAGAAAAGGCTGTAATTTTAATCAATTTACAGTTGAAATTTTTTATAAACTAAATTTAAATTTTGTTGAACAATATAGATTCTTTTTTATTTGGCGACAGTAGATGTATCATTTTACATTTAATGGTTTATTCCATGATATTACTATCATGGACTATCATGGAATACTGAAATCTAAAAAATGTACTTTTTTTGGCAAGCAAAAAATGTCAGAACTGAATATTAAAAAAAGTAACCTGTTAAAAGATTTTGCATTTATTTAACTTTCTGAGCAACATGGCCTAGCAACTAGTATGCAGTCTGCATAAAAACTGCATTGTGTACATATTACCCAATTATTCAAAATATTTTGCTCTTCAATTTTCTCTTACCCAATTACCTCTTATAAAGAGAAAAAATTTCTCTTACAAAAGACCTCATTACTCAGAACATTAAGATTATCACAAGGAAGTATGACATTTTTATATTTCTGTTTGTTGAAAGGAGTATGCTGTAAATTTAAAAAAATTCTTCTTTTTACAGTTTCGTTCTCTATTTCTGGGTCTGTCTCAAGCAACATGTGCATCAATGGCTGCAGATCCAGATGAAGTCCTAGTTCCAGATAGTGATGATGAAAAGTAAATTATTAAATTTTAAATTTAATGTATATTAAAGTTTTAAACAAGACCATTGTAATTGCATTTTTATGTTTCTATCCTTTAAATGCATACGGAAAATGAGAAAATTATCTTTTGAGTTAAAAAATCTTTCTGCAGCAAACAAATTTCATTCAATTCAATAATTTTTAAAGTAATAATGAAAAATCTGTTAATTCAATGTTTGTGCAAGCATTGGTTTTGATTCTAAAAGAAAATAAGGTCACTGAACGTATGTAAAGTGTAGAGATGTGTAACATACATTTAATTTCACAGAAATAATATACTGGATAGCCAAGTGATACATTTACTTGTCGGAGGTATTGGTAGTTATCACTTGGCTTGTCGGATTTTGTGTAGTGCTTGCTATGGCATGATAACAAATTGTTGGCTATTTCTATCATCTCATGTTACATACATTATAGAAGGAGCTCAATCGTATCATTTGCATATGATGCCTATGACAGCAATTTAGAGAGATAGAAGGTGTCAAGAAAAATAAAGGAATATTAAAAGGTTTAGTGAGGGGACTCTTTATTACTTACAAAGCACAACTGAATTCTGGGTATCATAAATTCAGGTATTTGAATGGTGTAGAGATCAGAAAACTGTTTGAAGCATAACCTTTCTTTCATGGATTTGAAGCACAACATATTTTACATACTTGGCCACCATTAAAGTCGCTGGTTTGGCTTGGGTTCTGTTCCAGGTGGACAGGTTGGCTGCATGGGCGTTTTCGTGGTTTTCTCCATGTGTAACATGGACACGAGCCAGTTTCCCTTAAAAAGTCCCGCATGTTTTTTCATAATCAATTAACTCATTCATGGAACTTGATTAAGCAAGCATATGCAGGTGAGGTACTTTCAAGAAGTTGTGTTTCTGAGTGGCACTAAAGATTTTGTGGAGCCAGAGATTCAGTGCAAGATAACTCCAAAACTGAACACCCATCTACAGCACATACCTATGCAAACGTGGAGCATGTAAGGCAGTTATTGCAAGACCGTTGAGTTATTGCATATGATATCAGAAGAACTGAATTTGAAACGTGATGTGTGTCATAAGATTTAGGGAAACTTAATGCAAGAATCATCCCTCACTCACAGATGAACAGAAAGAGGCTAAACTATTGGATAGAGACAGATGTGATCTCACATTTGAGTCAAAGATCATTGAAGCTTTATCAGTATTACTGCAGACATCCAACGGGCTGTGACAAATAAGCTTGCAAGCATCACAGTTGAAGATTTCCCTGCTTGCTTCCAAGTCCTCAAATGTTGGCAGTTACGCATGATGCACTACTTGGTAAATAGATTTTTTTTTTTTTAAACCTTTGTTCTGGAACTTTTCTGACAAAGGATGTATATACATATCTGCAAAGAAATTCCTTGTAAATGCAATATGCAAAAAGTCCAATTTTGTATTAAATGAAACCTAAAAATTTGGCACCTTGAAATTCAAATCTAATTAACAATTTTATTTATTTGCAAGATCCATGAAATGAAAACAAAAACTAAATACTTGAAATTACTTTATTTCCCATAAAGAATCATCGCCATGCTTTCTATATATAAATACATCATTCAATACCTTTCACTCATATAAAATTTTTACTCCTATACCAGTATTTTTATACAAGGTCAATGGAATAATATATTTCAGATTTAAAATAAAATTATATACAGAAAGTTGGAAAAAAAATAATTACACTTAATGAATTTTAGTAATTAATACTTATTTTTAGTAAATTAAGGGAGAAAATTAAATTCACAATATTTTTTAATTATAAGAAAAAGAAATTTAGAGCTCACAAAGCTATCAACTATTATAAGATACCACATTCAGTATTAGGATGAATCTTTAGAACCCAGGAAACCTAAAGCTCCTCCTGTTAAGTATTAACAGTAATGATACATTTTATCAGCTTATTAAAATGCTGATACACATGTGTGAAAATATATGTGCATTTGACATAAATCTTTAATACTGTACGATTGTGTATTTTAACTATCTTTTTTACCATTATTTATTTATTTGTATATATGCATCTATTTTTCTTTTAATTAGACAGACTTAAAAATTACTATAAATAACCATATACATGTAAAATAGGAAAATAAATCTATTAAATTAGTAACTTAATTAGCAACAGCTCTTTAAATTTCTTCGTTAAATTTTTATATGTCCTTCTCCTAGCATCTCCAATCAAAATTTCTCTCAACTGCTTCATTTCTAGATCAATCCATACATATGACTGTTCTGTGTTTACATATGACATCATCTGTGTTTTTTGCTATAAATTACTAAGAAATTTTAAATAATATTAACAGTTTCGAGCTAATTTTCTTGATAGATTCTTATAGCTTCATTTGTAATCCTCATTCTCTAATTCATACTTTAAATAAAACCATAATTGTAATAAAATAGCGCCTATTATTCTGATTACTCTCAAAGATAATTCTTTAGTAAAAGTTCAAACAATGCTGATGATGTAACTAATTCGGAACTTGAGCCGAAACTTTCTCTGGATGAGCTTCCATATCAGATAGCTGCGCACTTTAGCTTCTACCTTTCTTCTACCTTAGAAAAAAAATCTTTCAAAAATAAAAGATGCGTTTACGCACAGCACAACCGTTGGCATTCACCCTTCTACTACGCAATTATGCCATCACAACCTGGTTAACAATCAAAGTTCATTCCATCACAGGAATGCAGGAATTTATTTTGAATGAAAATTATAAAAATTTATTCTGTTTTGGAAAACAGTCATGTTTTATAACTTATAATGTGTAATTCAGTAAAAACTCATCAATAGTTTTTTTTTTTTTTTTTTTTTTTCCCTCCCAGAAGAACATTTAAAACTTTAGTGGATGAAAAATTTTTCTACATCAGAACTTCCCGCCACTGTTACCTTTCAAATTTTCAACAGTTCTTTTAGTTTTCATGTACATCCCAGACGGTGTAGTGGTTAGGGGAGTTGACTGCGATACCAAAGGGCCTGGATTTGAATCCCAGAGAAGGCATGGTTGTAACTATGCGTTCCTTCAAAGGAGGCCCACGTATTAGGAACCTCCATTATAAAGTGAGCACCATTTCTGGCCTTAGTAGTGGCCAAGCAGAAATCGGCTGATGGCCCACCATTGAGGAAAAAACAGTTCTTTCATGTGTATTAAATGTCTTGTTGGTTTATGTTTATAATACGACATAGAAGTATCACATTTATCCTTATGTACTTGAATAATTTTCACTTTTAGAAATAAACTGATTCATATCATCAGAAAAGCATAATAGTAAAAATGCACTTTATCCAAAATAAATTAACAGCATTTCATTATATTCTAAGAACAAATCAAAAAAATAGAACTTCTAAACAAGGCAATTACTGGTTATAAAATATTCAACCCTCAATGCTAGAATGTATTATACATTAGCATAAGTCTCACATTATTCTTTCTAATTAATTAAGCATCCATATTCTTGATTCCATTCATATTAGCAGACTGACAAAACTTCCATCCATCCACTAGGGATGTCAAGTTAAAAAAAAAAGTACACATCTGAGGTGTTTCAAAAACATGATTTCACAAATAAATTTAATTAGTATGTAGTCAAAATATAGAACAGTATTTACATAGCTTTTATCAAATATTTCTTTTATTAAACTATCAGCTTATGAAGAAAATCATTAAAAAATGAATCTGCCTTACTAGCCACACCTATCCATCTTCTGATAAGTCTCATCTAGACTGGATACGAATCTAGGCTGGACAACTGCCATGAGACCCTATTTTCAGTTCACTGGATATGCTTAATAGTTGACAGCTTTGGTTTTATAATACCAATGTTAACATAAATATAAATAAGGACTGCTTTGCCAGTTTAGAAAATATAATTCTTTAACAACTTGATTCTGCAAATAAGCACTTGTTAACTGACTTGTTAGGAAGCAATATAAATATCTTAGTAAAACATTGCACAAACTGAGCGTGAATACATCAGTATTCATTTGGTCCCTTGTGCTTCCTGTTTAATGTTCAACGTAAAGAAAAGCTTCACTGACCTAAAAAAATATTGCTAGATAATACTAGAAATTGTACGTTTAATAAAAAGTCAGACAAAGAAATTGATAAAAAAATGACACCCTTTAAACATAAAAATACTAATAAATATACTACAACCTTACAAACTCTGATTCTACATGATTTATAAAGCACAATGAAACCTCTCATGAAAAAGAAAAACATTAATAAATAATGGTGTTGAACATTATCAATAATCATACTATAATTACATCTACAAAAGAATAAAACTGTCTAAAACTCTGGTTGATTTCCTAGAGAGATTTCACTGCACTCTTTAAATAATAAATGCACAAATATTAATTGGGAACGTTCGTTGATTGTTGAATATACCTATCACATGAACACACGCTATCAACACTACATGCAAACAAGAAGAGTTCCATACTAGTTGATATAACTGCTCATAAAATGATGAAACAGATGATACAAAATGGGCATGATGTTAAACATATTCCATTAAACTATACAATGCTAAATTATAAGTAGTTGTTGCAGATAATAACATTTTAAACAAAATTTTGCGTACTCTTCTTTCAACCCACTGCAGTGACAGATTTTTTTTCTCAATATTGCATAATCTCAGAATTCTGCTCATTTTCATTACACTAACTTTACAAAGAGAAAATGTCCTATGCAGAAATTTCTATAAAAAAATAAAATGTAAAGAAATAAATCCGTAATCATACTGAAATCAAACCACAGGTTACAGCTAAATTTAAAACCATCTGAGCTGCTCGGGTTTTTGGATCTGTCACGAAAGACCTCAAATTCAAAAAGCCTTTATAAATAGCCTCAATAAATTCAAAAAGCCTTTATTTATTATTTTGTCTTCTTATCTATTTAAGGATAAAAAATTTTTAAAAACTCAATTTCGTAGCTGTTTATTTACTAACAAATTATATTGATAATTCTTAAAATGTTTATGTATTTGGTGACATATGAACCATGAAAGATTTTAATAATAAAATTCTAAATTTCAATTGCATAGCAAATATTAACACAATCACTATCACATGAAAGCTATAGTGACTAATGACAGAGTTTTCAAATTATGCATTACCAGTAAACATTCACACTATCTGCTCGACACCTTATCGATAATGGCATTAACACATTTTTTATCATAAATGACTTCAACCATTTCATTTATTCCTATCCTGAGGAAAACCTTTTCATTCAATAGGAATCATGCTACTAGCTTAGCAAGTCCTTATTTAGAGCATTATCATCACAGTATATAAAGATTTAAGGTAAAGCTAACTTTTAAGCTCATATAAAATGATTAAACAAAGTTGGGAAACAATGCAATGAAAAATTTTTACTTTCAACTTTAATATACTTAACATCCATAATCACTTTGCTTAAAAACTGCCTGGAAATGGATCTTTATTCAAGGAAACCAGCCTTGTAGACACGAGTGACAACTTAAATGCCCATACAAATATACATGTAGTGCATGAAAAAATTATTTTTGTATTATTTTCAGTTCATGTACAGCAAATCAGCCTTTCCAAATTTCATTAATTTTGAATACTTCAAAATGGAAATAATAAAATTATACATTTTATTTCAATTTCTATAAAACAAGGGAAGCGTAACAAAAATAACGGTCTGATTGGTTTTCGTGAGTTCAACAAAATTATAAAAAGTATAAACTGCACGTTAATATGCATCACTAAACAGCAAATAACTATTACTGTATTACTAAATTATCCAACAGCTTCAGAAAATTTTGTATGTATTGAATTTAACATGCATAAAGAACAACTTTTATTTCAATGAAAACATTTGTTTACACAATTATGCAAATGAACTGAACTTTTATTTCATTTAAAAGAGTCCAGAGGTTATCACATCTAGTGACAGTCCCTACTAGACGGAACTATTCTGAAAAACGAGATTCTGATAGCACTGGTGTAAAATAGGAAGATTTCTAGAAAGAGCTTCGGTTGAAGCAAAGGTCCCGCCTAGCTACAGAAACGATGTACCTGCTATGCGGGATTTTTTTAAACTTCGCGGGAAATGTTTCGGCTTGGAGCTTTGTCCCACTTAAAGATCAAGCAATCAGACAAAAGTTCTGGTTCTGAAGGATCACATGATCCGAATCTGAGCGATAACCAATTACTGTTTGACATTCAAGTCTTTGTAGTAAGTGAAAATGGTAACCTAGCTACATGGGTTTCCTGGAAATGTGCGGGTTCTGAGAATTGTCCCTTTCGACATAAAGTCCGACGTAGCCGAAATATAATGCGATTGGGACCTTAAGAGTGATTATGAAAACATTTGTTTACACAATCAGAAATGCTGTTATAATAGTGAACAAGCTTTCAAATACTTTAGTTAATTTTTAATTATAATTTTTTACACACTTAAAAGAAAATCACATATTCTAAAATTTCACCTGTAATTGTATTTTAAAACACACATTTTTTTTTATCTCAATATATTTTTTGAATGACAGTCAATTCCCAATTAACTAGTTGCAGATAAACTAGGCCCTGTCTAAAAGTTCTTTATAGCACAATGAAAGAAAAGCTGCTATCACAAACCATCAGCACAACAAAAGTCTCAAAAATACAAGAATGAAGACAAAACTCTGTGCAGCAGTGACAGATGGCATCTGCACGATAAACACAAAAAGTTCCAACTGTAATCTTTACACAAGTGTTAATTCAATGACATTTTCAAGTTTCGTTATAAATATCCGATATCCGAGCATTCAATATCCGGAATGATTCAATGTCTGAACCACCAGCCTTTTTTTTTTTTTTTTTTTTTTTTTACAAAATTATGGAATGGAAAATCCAGAAAAAAAGTCTCATAAAAGTGATTTTTCTGCTGACTAAATGAAATTCCTGTATGTCACTTTCAAACAACCGCAGGCTAGGGAATCGCACCATACAAACAACAATAGTTTGTCTGACATAAGCCACAACCATATTTTCGGCCCTTAAGCTGTTGTGAAGTTCGGGGAAGGAGAGATTAATATTTTTTTTTTTTTTTTTTTTTTTTTTCATCTGATAACTGAAACTCCAAGATAAATTTGTTTGGAGTGTGATGTTGCTAATACTGGTTTTCTTTTGTTGACATAACAATGAGAAGAAAGAAAGAATTAGATCTAGAAGAAATGCATTTAATGTACCTAATTTCACTTTTCCTTAACTAATTTGATCCAACTTATTATTTTTTGAAGACTATTATTATTACAGCTATCTAAGTTCAAATTTTGATTACGTCCAAAATATTTCCTAATTCTGGAGTTGATTACGGGGCTTGCAAAGCAAAAGCATATTTAATATTTGTCTTCGAAAGTGGCATTGGCACAATTTGGGCTTAAAAAAGTGCGATTGCAAAATTAGGCAAAACAACAACTTTGTTTTGTCATAAATTTTAAATGTTATAGAAGGCAAAATTTTCCATTTAATAGAATTTGTGGAGAAGTGATAATAAATGCAGGTTATATAACAGAAGTTTCCTATTGTAATGACAATGTTCCAAATAGCAATCAAATAATGGACTGCAAAATCTGTAGTATGGTTTTAAATCAGATAATTTCACTAATGATGGTGAAAAAAAGACACTATAAGGTCACTGAGAATAAACAACTCGATTGATATAGTTTAGTGGAAATTTTTAACACAATTACAGGATTTGAATGATGGAATTTTGAAAATGAACAAGAAATTATGTCTATATAAAAAACTACACAGAAAGTAGTAACACAAAAAATGAAAACTTATGTTGAAAGAAATGTTTAATAAAAAATATTTACCTTTCTTTTTGCAAATTTTGACTCCCGTAAAATCTGATAATAAAAAGGCTTCTATGAAATAATAAATGCTTCATTATTTTGACTATATTATTGAACAACTATTTTATGTTTTCAATTTTATAATTTCTACATATCATCATAGATTCTGATGATCTAGAATCTGGAAATTTCCAAAAGCAGTCTCAATGATTCTGAATCTCGGACTTTGCAGTGCATTGTTCTTTAATGCCACTTATAATTTAAGAAGATAGCAACTGATTTCTAATGATAAACAGAAGAGTTTCACTCTTTTCCTCTTTGTTTTAAATATTGATTTAATTTTCATAGTCAAATGAACTTATAAATCTGCTTAAAAGTACAGGTAAATTGTTGGTAATATTTTTATATTGATAAATATGGAGTATTCCTCATTCCTGCAATTTTTTGAACACCCTCCAATTAACCATTATTTTGAGTTAACTGCAGTTAATGTCCCCAATTGTATATTTATCTGAAGAAATAGCTACAATTCCATGTATTCCAAGAGCAAAAACATACACAAATTAGATTGTTAAAAAAAATTACATGAAGATAAGCTCTCTTGTTTTAAACTGTCTTCAATTCAAAATCCAGCAATTTTAAACATGCTAAGAATATCGTGTAAAATTTTAAAAAGTTATTTAAATAAAGAATTTTATAAAACAATATTTTTCAAAAATTTTAGCAGAAACAGGAAGGAGTACATATGTGAAATTTCATTGGCCTAAATTCCCATTTTCATACAACTTTTTCAAATTAGTTGGATTTGCATCAGTTTCTATTAAAAAATACACTGAATATATTTTTCTGATTTTTCCCGCACAAAATTGGCAGGTTTGATACACTGTTAATGGTCATTTTTAAAACTGTTTCATAATTAGACAACTGATTTGCATGTAAAAGGTGATTTTGCACTGAAGACAACCTGATTGTTTGGAATATGATTCATTCCCCCAGGACAAATACAGTAAATATCTTAATCTAAGGTTAGATGGATGACATTTACCATATTAACATTTGAACCATTTCACTACATTTAATGTGTATACATATTTAAAATTTGAGGGTCCTTCCCAATGAACTCATGTAATATACTCGCTTCACATCACACACAATAAAAATACATTAAAAATAAGCCTTTCTGAAAATTAATGAGACTTGTAGAAATGCTAATGATTTTAAAATTTGGCATATAATGGTATAGCAAGTCTCGTATCACTGATGTGCAATAATTTTTATCACATTAAGAATTTAACAATAATTAAATATTTTTGAAATTTCATGAATTTCAAATAAACACCTGCCAAATTTCAGTTTTTCCACAATCATTATTTGTCAATAAAATTATTAATTTTTTTAAAAATTTTAGTTAATAAAGCCTTCATATGTTTAAAATTATGATTAACTAAAATGTGAGTTTTTATCATATAAAACTGTAATTCCACGGACCTCTAAGTATTTTGGGGTGAATGGAACCACAAACACTGTCGCAGCTCAACAGTTCTTTCCTAAAATTATAAATCTGTTATAACGTGAAAGAAAAATTTGTCTGGGTATGATATAATGTGTGAACACATTGTCCACTTAAAGGTAAAACTGATCTTGCATAACGGCATTTTAATACTGCCAGAATTTTACAAGTTAATATATACAAGTAATTGTCTAAAAATATAATGCTTCTTTACAAACATTAGCATATATAAGGCTTATTACTGTTAGTTCCTTGTATTACTGCTTCATCTCTAGTACTTGATTAGGAAATATTAATGTAAATTCTTTAACATAAAACTATTAGTACACTATGAATATTTTGCGACATTTTACTACTTAACTACGATTGACCCTGCAAAAAAATTACTACCCTATATATAATACTAAACTTAAGTAAAGTCTTCACAGGGAGATGCAATCAATAAAACAAAAGATTTATTAAATTTACTGGGAAAGTAAAAATGCCAATATGCATGTTTAAAGATTTAAATTTACTACAGTGAGTTAAGATTATTAAAGTTGATAATGGCAATATTTTCTATTATTGCTTTTGCAGTACTCTGTTGTCAAAATAATAAACATTTTGAAACCTGATTATATTAAGACATTTTGCTTTCAGTTTTGTGAGAAAAGGCAGGTAGTAATAAAAGAAAATTAAATACATTGATAAAATTAATAAAACATACATCTAACAGATGCTATGAAAATCTCAATAATAATAAAAAGTAGCTCTTCATTTATTCTACTAATACTTTCATTACTGTCTAGTGTCCAAAAGTATTTTCCTAGCATATCTTCAATCTGAAATACCATTTACCTACATTACGATTAATTTAAAAGAAAGAAAAAAGTTTTTAAGCTTTCATAATTATCATCCATGGTCAGAACAACTACGCTGGGCAATAACCGCAGGTATAGGAGCACTTTCATTAAACAGATTAGTAACAGCAGCCAACAGTACAGTAACATCATCAGGTTTACCCCCTAAAAGGAAAGTCAATAAAACATCAAATAATGTATTTATATAAAGTAAAACATAAATTATGAAACTAATACCAGTTTAGTATAGACTATATAAAATATAGTTTAAAATAGTACAAACAAATATCAAAAGTCATGGTAAACTGAAATAGTTGTGCTGGTAGTAAAAGTTTGATTGAAGTACTTTTGAGGTTAAATGCGCTTATGAAGTTGAAACTTCTTTTACACATTTCAGTTTTAAGCCTTTAATAATTTAGTACCCTAATAAATGAATGTTTTAACAGATACAACTAGAACTAACATGCCAAAATACTGAGCTTTAGATGTATTAAAAAATGCTAGAAGTTGCAATGTTATAAATTACATGAACATCACATATATAACATAGAATTATTAACACTGAATGTACACAACAAAATACAAACATCTTTGTAAAAAGCTAACAAAAAAATTATGTTACGATTTCACAGAAATAATTTAAGAAATTTATTTTAGTAAACTGAAAATAAAAATGAGATTATGTATTTCATTCTAAGGTCAAAATTAATAAAAAATCAGAAATTCAGATACATTAAAAATAAATTTTATTGTTTCATTAGGCTGGGAAAAATGTTTTGCAAATTTTTATATATGGAAGGAAATAAAACTAACTTGTATAGGGTTGAAATAAACAGATGCCCTCCAAAATACTCTCACTTGCTTTAGAAGAAAATGCATATCTATAGCCTAAACCAGAAATTTTGAAACTTAATACCTCCTTTGTCTGAACTTTTTCCTGGTTATTTCTCTCATCTTTTCTTCATGCACATATGTGTATGTATCACACACCCACATGTGCATATATATATAACAGAAATTTAGCATATGGGTGAAGAAAAGGAATGATACTAACTGGTGACTCTTCCTATGAGCCCTCATCTACCAAAAGGCAGATGTGGACTTTCAGATCATCCTTGTTTTAGGCATAGTTTATAGCAGAAAACATAGTGAAGCAACACAAGGGCTCATGTGACACATCATTTGTTCAATGATTTCATGTAGACCTTGCACAAATAAAATGGGGGTACAATTCTATATGTCTCGTTCGACTGAATTAAATTTAACTTGTGTTTTCCATGTCTCAAAAGTGTGACTTAGGATATATATTAGATTTATACATAGCATTCTGACACAGGTATTTTGACACGAAATCAGACTTTTTCAAATAACATACCAAATTTTTTCCATATTTTAATTCTATGATGCAAATTATGCCTAGATATTAAATTTGGAAATTTCTGGTAAATGTTTTTGAGAAATTTAAAAATTTATCTTGGCGCATTTTTTTCAGTTTGTACTAAGAATAATTCAGCTGGTGAAATTTTTAATTTATGGCAACCTATTTTCTTTTCCCTTTCTCACTGTGCACGAGTGGAGGGGGGAAGGCACATCAATTCATTCTTTCAAATAATTTTGATAAAGTGCGTAAACCACATTTGGCATTTTTAATCGCTTATAACAAATATGCCAAATTTCAAAATGTGCCGATATGTAAATTCATGTATATCTAGGGAAATTTTGAATAAAAAACTAATTTTTTGAAGATATACTTAGAAATACTTCTACTTTAAGATGGTGGTAAAAATGTTACAGTTTATAATTCAAAATCTTTTTCAAAAATTTATAAAAATTATTTAAAAATACAAATTTGTAAAATAAATCATAAAAAATGAGCGAATTTTATTTGCAGTGAGTGAGTGAGAGATTATGGCGCAAAACCAAAGATGATCATAGCGCGCCAAACACGAGATGGGATGATTACAAATGATGAAATTAAAATACAATAATTAAAAACAAGTATACAAATGTACCAAATCCAAAGGATGAAGTCATATAAAAACAAGTTAAAAAGCACACATTAAAATTCAAAACACAGTCTTCAAAACAAATTACATTAGATAATAAAAGCCAGTCTCTTTTAAATAATAAAATAAATTAATATTGACCTCTCTTCCGATTAAACGGTCGAGAGGTAAGTCACAGCTATTAAAATATTTCTGACGAAGACTATTAATACTTGGACACTCAATTAAAATATGACGGACAGATAGACAAACATTACAATTTGAACAAACAGGCTCATTCTCAGCTTTTAAAAGGTAGTTATGTGTTACTCTAGTGTGGCCAATTCTGAGGCGAGTCAAAAGAACTTCCTCCTTACGATTTTTGGTTAATTCCCAATGCTCAATTCTAGGCTTTACATGTCTTAATTTATTTTGAAGCTGAACATCCCAAAGTTGCTGCCATTTTTTTCGGATCTTGTTTTTCACAACACAACAGATGTCTCCAAAAGGGATGAGACGACTGGACAGTTCAACAGCACATTTCGCTGTGATATCTGCCAGCTCATTCCCTTTTATTCCCACATGCCCGGGAACCCAGCAGTACAGGACTTCATATCCACGACCTGTTAAGTTTATATGTAACTTAAGAATATCCACTATTACTGGATTTTGAGTGTTAGAAAAAGCTTCTAATGATTTAAGCGCACTATACGAGTCTGTATCAAAATTATAAACTTTTTGTGGCAGAGCCTTGAGATGTACAAGAGACTATAATATATCGCAGTTAGTTCGGATGTTAAGACAGAGAAATCACGGTGCAAGCGTCTGCCCTCCATGTGATCTTCAATTACAAATGCCATCCCAACATGATCTTTTGACTTGGATCCATCTGTATAGACTGGAAGATAACTGCTATATTTGTGCCTGTGCTCAGCGAAGAGTTGTCTGTATACGATCTCGTTAGTGCTTGCCTTCACGTGATGTTTGAAAACATCAAGAAGCTGAATTCACGAATTTTCTCAAGGTGGTATTTCAAAGTTCTGTACTGCTTGGGGGCGCATATCAGAGAGGGAATGTTCCTCAATGATAAGGCGAACTCTTAAACGAAAGGTAGGAATACAGGATGGACGTGTTTCAAATAATGTATTAGCAGTTTATTAGCAAGCATAGTTTATTAGGATGTTCAGGTTGAGATAGAATATTAAAATATTGCAAAAGGTACAATTGCTCACGCCTCAGATAAAGTGATGGTTCGTTAGAGTCAACATATAGGCTCTGGACAGGAGAAGTCCTGAAAGCTCCTGAACAAATCCGCAGAGCTTGATGGTGAACAGGATCCAGTTTTAACAAAACAGATGAGTGAGCGGATCCATAAACAACTGAGCCATAATCCAGTCTAGAGCGGATAAGCACTCTATAAATGCGAAGCATGGAGTAACGCTCTGCACCCCAGGAGGTGTTCGCCAACACTTTTAAAATATTTAGTGTTTTTAGACACTTCTTTCTCAGGTTTAAAACATGAGAAAGGAAAGTCAATTTTCGGTCGAACGTCACTCCTAAAAATTTTACTTCAGGCGCAACTGGAATAATTGTACCATTCAGATATAACTCAGGTTCAGGATGGAGACCACGCTTCCTACAAAAGTGCACACACACAGTTTTCTGTTTTGAAATAGTAAATCCCTGTTTGTTTGACCATTCCTGGATCTTATTCAGAGCCATCTGCAATTGCCTCTCTATGTATCTCATGTCTGCCCCTCGACAGCTAATCTGTAAATCATCTACATATAGAGATCCCAAGATGGTGGGAGGAAGTTCTTTTAGTACAGAGTTTATTTTTAGGCTGAACAGCGTTACACTAAGCACACAGCCTTGAGGCACACCCTCTTCCTGTTCAAAAACATTCAATAAAGCAGAGCCAATTCTTACTTGAAAAGTTCTATTGTACAAGAAATTCTGAATAAAAATTGGTAAGTTGCCGCTCAAGCCACTCTCGTGGAGATCGCGAAGTATACCGTATCTCCATGCCTTATCATAAGCTTTCTCAATGTCAAAGAATATTGAGACAAGGTGACTTCTTTTGACAAAAGCTTTTCGAATAGATGTCTCTAAAAGAACCATATAATCTACGGTCGTTCTTCCCTTCCGAAAACCACTTTGATAAGGCGATATAATATTATTCTTTTCCAAGAAGTAGACTAGGCGGCTGTTTACCATCTTTTCAAACAGTTTGCATAGGCAATTGGCCGATAGTTGGAGGGATTCCTTGGGTCTTTCCCTGGCTTAGCAATAGGAATCACAACAGCTCTCCTCCATGCACTGGGAAAGGTACGCTCCTTCCACACTCTATTGTAAAGAGTGAGAAGGGCATTCAGTGACTTATAGGACAGATGCTTTAGCATTTCGTAGTTCACGCCATCAAGACCCGGAGAAGACCTATGTGTCTGCAATAAAGCTCTCTTTAATTCAAGCATAGTAAATGCTCTATTGTAAGGCTCAGATTTGGAAGAGTTGAATGCGATGGGATTTATTTCAGAGTGCTGCTTCATAGAGAGAAATGCAGGTGAATAGTTTCTGCTGGAAGAAACGGCAGCAAATGCCTCACCAAATAAAATTCATGAAGAATTTTATTTGGAATGAACCTACATTTTGAAATGTAAAAGGAAGAATCAAAAAAGTTTAATTAAAAAAAAAAGACATACTAATAAATATATACCAAATTCAATTAACATGGAGCTAAACTTTTGAGAGCTAATTTTTTAAAAACTATTCGTGCGATTTTTACAAAACTTCGCACTTTGGCATAATCCAAGTTGTAGAATCGAAATATGGAAAAAAATTTATATGTTATTTTAGAAAAGTCCGATTTTTGTGTTAAAATACCTATGTTAGAATAATGCTACATATAAATCTAATATACATCCTAAGTCACACTTTCGAGACATGAAAATGCAAGTTAAATTTCGACAATCGGCCCAATAGAACAGGAGAGATAGAACTGCCCCATTTTCTTTTGTGTACACATATTTACATATTTAGATAAAATGAAGCTGCAGATATGAAAGTGAAGACAAGCATAAGGGAAAAAACAAGATTACGTTGATGGACCTTTCATGAATCGTTTCACAGAAACAAACCTATGTCAAACTACTTATAGTCAGTGGTTTCATTGCTCAGCTACAGTTAGGTTTTCATACCTGAAACGTGTAATTTGAATCAGCTTGCTAATTGCAGCTGGTGTTGAATATATCACCACTTTAGTTATTTATTTATTTATTTATTTTATCTTTGCCAAATTTTCGTTATATACTCCATTCACAGTTAGCATATTTCTTATTGGCTGATCTGAAAATCCCTGCATTTTCCCACATCAAATTGTATTTTCTTCCAATTATTTTGTTACTGCTAATAATAACAATTAATCTTGCTCAAAATAGATGCTTTAGTACGGTCTTTTCTACTTATGCAGCATAACTCTAGCACATACTTTGGAATAATTTTTGTTCCAGTGCAATGCTAAGAATGAAGAATCCAAAAGTTCGTTTTTGTTCTATTATGCTCTTTTATTATAAAAAGGGGGGAGAAAGCAAATGAAATTGCTTATAAAATTTGTGCTATGCACAAAAAAAGTGCTGTTTTTCTGATGACACAGTTTGAACGTGCTTTTAAGAAGTCATGAAAATTTCAGCCTAAAAAATGATGCCCACTCTGGAAAACTGTCCATCAGCAAACCAGAATCTGTTAAAAGAAGTACTGTTGAAAATTCATGTTTTACAGTTCAGGAACTAAAGTAAGAATAAATATTCCGAAAAGTACAATACATGATCATCTGAAGAAGACTGGGTATGTAAAGTTGCTATGATGTATGGGCACCTCATACTTTAATGGAGTAGAATATGCTTGCTTGAATTTCAGCATGCGATTATTTGCTCAAACAAAATAAAGAAGCTCCTTTTATGAATTAGCTCGTAACTGGAGCCGATAAGTGAATAATATAATGAATACTATAATCATGTTATGAGAAAACCTAAAAATGCTCTGTGTACAGTGGAACTACAAAGGAATTATATACTATGAATTGTTGCCACTAAATCAGACAATATTATTTAAAAGAATACATAAAATACTGTCCCAAATGCCAGTCTGCAGAAAAAAATGAAAACACTCCTTTTTGAAACATTACTAGGGAGAAGATACCATACAATAATATTATTAGAAAAAGATCATAGGGTAAGTCAAAAGAAAATCCTCCAGTAACATCGAGACTACTGCATCCCAATAAAGTAATGCTTTGTGTAAAAATAAACATAAGAATTTTAACAGAAGAGAATTTATTGGAATTCATGGACTGGATCAATTATTTTACAGCCACATGTTACTTCTGGTTGTTTATGGTTGATTTATTACTTTCGTGTGAAGATTTAAAAAAAAGACTATCTCAATATTTATTACATATTGCAGTTCTGTAAATTTCTAAAACCATTTCAATAAAAATTGCAAAATGTTATTGATGCACAGACATAAATGAAAAAAATACATCACCAGCTCATTAAAATTTCAAAGCTTTTTATAGGCTTTTGTTTTTAAAATTTCAAACATATTAGCCTAAAAACTAATCTAAGCATTTTCACTCTTGCATCAGTACTTATGAATTGTAGCAAAAGTATGTTTTTCATACATTTCCCTTACATTTCTAAATTACTTAATTTTAGAAAAGAATTACCTAATATGTTTATTCCATTTTCCCAAGCCCGTTTGGCAAATGGTGACAGGTAGTTCGCATCAAATGCTAAACGATGTGCCAGAAATGCAAGAGTATTCACCATATTCTGCATATTATCCAAATTGGGATCCTTGAGGGAAAATTATTAAACATAATAAGTAAGTAAATTATATAAAATATATTTGCATTCTTGTTTTATCTATGCACATTATAAATAAAAATGATATAATATAAATATTTCTTAAATGCACCAAAAATATCTCATAAAAGCACATTTTTAAAGAATGAAAATATCTTAAAATTCTTACTCTGAGATTTGCTAACTGTTGCACGATGACAGATTCGGGAAGATTGTCAAATAAGCCATCTGTTGCTAATAAAATAAGATCTCCTTCTTCTATTGGCACTGAAGAAGTGTCTGCTGATTCAGGACTAAATGCAAAAGAATGAAAAATTCTTTCAATTTACATAACCTATATTACTTCAAGTTACATGCTGAATTATTACATCCATAATTCAGCGAATAAATGATGGATAAATACTGTACAAAAATATAAACTGCTTAACAAAAAAACTGCGAAAAACTACTGTATAAAATATGAGCTGAAGTTTTATACATAATTCAGAAATAAAATGAATTAAAAAATCCAGTATTCCATCAATTATTATTTCAGAATTACAAATACAGGGTTATGGCAACACATAATTTAAAAGAAGTTCTTATATTAAATACATTTTAAAATATGGAGGTGAAGGATTTCCCTATCATGAAACCTGAAAGGTTATATAGTGTCGAACATATGGTACTGTACATATCCAAATTTGTATAAGTGAAACATAAAATTTAAGAAAATTTTTAAGATAATTTATTAATGATAAAAATTTGAAATGGAACAAACTTACACAATCAACTGCTGATGAGAAAATGTATGAAATTCACAGAATTACTGTAAACATAAAAATAGGTAAAATCTCAATACATAAAAGTATTTAAAACAGATTCAAATTGATGGATAAAAATCAATCCCCTTTAACCCTCTCGGCATTATGGACACAAAATTCTGTGTAAAAGGGTGGCTTTCTTATTCATTACACGTGAAAATTTATGCTAGTAGGTATCCAATTTTAGGTTGGGAAAATTGGAAGAAAAGAAATCAAAGTACAAAATGAGAGAGTTGTTTTCTTTTTCGTTTCAGAGAAAATGTCGGGGCTAAACCCATAATGCTCAGAAGGTTAAATACTGAAATAAAATTAATGTATTTTCCAATTAAATGGTCAACACTTATATACATATATATATCAGAACCCTTAAAATATTTCACATGGGCATTTTATCAAATGTGTTACATCAACAGCACATTACAATTACAGCATACGGGTTCACTCTCTTTTAACAAGCAATTGTGCACTGCTTGAGAGTGACAAATTTGGAGACGAGTTAAAAGGACATCTTACTTCCAATTTCTGTTTACCTCCCAACATTGCACCTAGAGTTTTATGTTTCTCAATTTATTATTCATTTGCATGTTCCATGATAATTGCCTTTACTTCGACTACTGCAATGTACATCAAGGGAGACAGCCAACTACATAATTCATTTAGCACACTTTACTATGATGTCTACTAGCTTGTCACCTTTTATTTTTACATATCCAGGAATGCAGCTGCGAAGAATTTGGTACCCATGACTCCTGAAGTCCAGATGCAGTTGCAGAACTTTTATAACTACAGGATCAAAGAAACTTTCTAATACTCAGTTTTAGTGCACAAATGCGATATAAATTTTTATTGGCATAGTTTCCATATAAATAAAAAAGCGCAATAAAACGCAGTTGTTTCAGCAGTAATTAGGGAGCAAGCATTATGCAGTCATCTGCCCTCCATATGGTTTTCCAATTGCAAACAACATTTCTACCTGACCAGCAATTTTTCAACCATCTGTATCTATCACAATATAACTGCTTATTAATGTCTGTGCTCAAGAAAATCTTACCTGTATACTATCTTGCAAATGTTTCTCTTATTAAGTTAGTGGAAAACATTCACAAAACAAATTTCTAGATTATCCAAATATGTTATATATAGATGCTTTACTGCCTTCAAATCAGACATGCAATATTTTTGTATCATTGGCTCAGCCCCAACAGGCAAGGGATGCATATAAAGAAGATAATAAAAAGTAACAACAGCCGTCAAGCAAACAGTGGTAACTAGAAAATGGTCAGGTTGTGACATTATACTAAAATAATAACGAACAGATGACTGTTAATATCCCAAATGAAATGATAGTTCTAAGCAGATCTAAAGCCTCTGAATAGAAGATGTTCTGAAGGCTCCAGAACAAATCTGCATGGCCTGATGATGAACAGGGTATAATTTTAATAAAACAGAAAACTAGCAATCCATAAATAACTCAGCCATAGTGCAGTCTACAGCAGATGGCAGTCCTAGAAATATAGAGCAACAAGCTAAGCTTTACACCTCGGAAGAAATTGGCCAGTACTTTCAGAATTCTGAAATACTTCTTCCTCAAGTAAAGGACATTAGGAGTAAAATTGGCTTTAATCTGAACATCACTAAGAACTTCACTGCAAATGAAGTTTTGCTTCCTACAAAAGTACATGCTTATGTTTTGAAAACAACAAATCCATGTGTCTCTGACCATGTCTCAATTCTACTCAATTCTGTTAGAGCAATTTTAAACTCTGTCCCAACATACCTTATATCTACATCTTGGCAACTTATAGGAAGTCATCAACATATAATGATCCTGAAGTAAATAGTGAAAGTTCCTTTACAACAGAATTTATTTTTACTTTGAAAAATGTAACATAGAGAACACAACCCTCAGTTACACCCCCTTCTTATACAAAGGTTATCTGACAAAATAAAGACAATCCAAGTCTGTGCCTTAAAAAAATTCTACATAAAAACTGGAAAGCTGAGGCATTAAGATCACATAAAATATTATATTATATTTTTTATGATAAGTATATTTGTATAAGCATATACTGTTGTAAATTTTTCTGTTTGATATGTTATACTTAAATATTTGTGCTGACTCAACTTCATCTGTACTTGTAGATCTTTGAAATAATGGACACCTTGATAACAAGGAAAGGTCACAGAAAGCCAGATAATTTTGTTTTCACTACTTTTTTCAACAAATTCTCAACAAAAGCAACATGAAAAACTCATCATACTTTTTCTGCAAAATGCATCTGTTCTGTGTTAATACCCTTAATATATTTTTCATTTTATCATCGGCCTTTTCTGGAATTTTAACCATTAAAATACCTGCCAACTCTACAAATAAAAACCAGATTTTAAAAAATTCAGAAAATAAGCATAAAGTGAATTTTCCAAAGAACACCTACTTTTGTATCTAAGTATTTTGAAAAAACTGCTCAGTCAATTACATTATAAAAAAATTAGAATAAATGAAATTAATCTGAACATGATTACAACAACTTTTATTTTTGCTTAATTCAAAAGTTCTGTTTATCATATACATTATCTACTTTGAATTTCAGAATTAAAATATTCAAAAATCATAAAAATGAAAGACAAAGCTATTTTAAAACACTACAGATGGTTATAAAAGTACTGTAATTTTCTTTTTCTGAAAAACTCAATAGTAACATACTGGTGTTATTTTAACAACCCTGTCATAATATATTTGTTAAGAAAGTCATGAAATTCACATTAATAATTATGAAAAAAAATTTTTTTTTTCCCAAATCATTTAAATTTACAAGAGACACATATGTCATAAATTTTCTCCAAGACGACCACTCATAGCTCTAGATGATTTTAGCTTCCCATGAAAGAATAATTTTCATTATGGATAGTTATCTACATTCCCACAAATTCATGTCATTTTCAGAGACAGTTAACATCATATATCGAATTTATTAAAAATTTGTTCCTCAAAACATTGCTATAAACATAAAATGATACAGAAATGCTACAATGATGAAAACTTCTTAGAATCAGTTTCAGAGTTGTAACTTTTTTAAATTATGTAGCATTTTTAATTTAATAAATTATACTTTTCTTTAAAGCATTCGTAAATGTAGGTAGTACATATAATACACATAGTAGGTATGAAAACTTCTTAAACTCAGCCTTAGAATAGTAATTAATGAAAACTGCTATTCTAAGGCTGAGTTTATTACTAGAAAAATAACTTAAAACTAATAAATGACTTAAAACTATCATATAAATCAATAAATAATACTAGGGAAATGAATAATTTTCATTAGAGTAATATACAGATGGAGGACAAAATAATGCGAACACCTGTGAAAAAGTATGACTTATTTCACACCTGCAGTACAGCCGTGCCACGTGCAACATAGTCTGCCACCTAGTGAGTGTGAAGAGGAAGGTATCATTCTCTCAACAGCAGTCACCTGCGTTGCATGCTTCAATGGAACTGTCTGTGAGAAATTGAAATGTCAGGCCTGTGAAAGTTCCAAAAAGAAATGATAGTTGGAGCGCATTTAAGTGGAGCATCGGTTATGGAAACAGCAAACCTTGTGGGGTGGGCAAGGAGTATGGTATCAGCTGTTATGACAGCGTACACAAAAGAGGGTAAGACGACATCTTCAAAGCACAACAATGGCCGAAAGTCAAAGCTGGCTGATAGGGCTTGAAGCGCATAGTAGCCCGAAAGCACAAGCAATTGTTATCCATGATAACATCCGAAATGAACAGTCATCTCCAGGACCCCGTTTCAACAAAAACTGTCAATAAGGAACTTCATGCTACGAACATTTATGGCAGAGGGGCAATTAGTAGACCCTTGGTGACAACAACTAATGCTTTCAAGCGACGTCAATGGTGCAGAGATCACAAAGGCTGACCCCCACAGCAGTGGCAAAAGGTAATATGGCCAGATAAATCGTCATTCACCCTATTTCAGACGACTGCATGCGTTTATGTCTGGAGAACACCCAAAGAAGAGTTTGACTGCCTCTTGCCGACTGTGAAGCATGGGGGGGGCTACTATTGTGGTATGGAGTGCGATATCATGGCACAGTCTTGAGCCATTTATTATTCCGCATGGGAAGATCATATCCAATCACTATCTAAGCATTCTAGGGTATCATGTCTATCCTTTTGTCCAGACTGTATTCCCTGGGGAGCGACCCCTTTTTTTCAAGATGACAACACCCCTAGCCACACTGCTAGATGCATTCAAGAATGGTTCGAATAGGAAGACGATGCAATGGAACATCTCGCTTGGCCCCCCCCCTCAGTCTCTGGACTTGAATATTATTGAACATTTATGGGCATATTTGGAGTCCAAACTTCATTCCCGATTTCCACCTCCATCCAGACTTTTGGAACTAGAGGTCACTCTGCAGGAGGAATGGCTTAATATTCCTTTAAATATTGTCCATGACCTTTATGCATCTATCCCACGTCACATTCAATCTGTACTTCAGTCAAAAGGTGATCCAACCCCCTATTAATAAAGATTTGTGTTTATTTCACAGGTGTTTGTATTATTTTGTCCTACATCTGTAATTAGCAGACAAAATTACAAATAGTAATTAATCATTATTCGTGTTTAGAATAGACATTGTAGTGACAGATTTTGATAACAGGATTATCTATCAATTGTTGATTTTCATAAAATTTTTTGGCCAAGCTGGTAGTAACAAGTCCTTAGTAGTTCGACTTTTATTATTTCCAATTATTTCACAAGTGTTCGTATTATTTTGTCCTCCATTTCACCTTCCATTTATCAAGTATATTTTAATTTCTTTTCAATAAAATATTACATTTAATATTTAATAAGAAATCTCATAGAAAACAACATAGTAAAGATCTAAAATAAATTACCTGTCACTATGAACACCGGTAATATTAGCTGGAGGTAAACAAAGTTGAAATGGAGTGTTAAAAGTGTGCTGCTGTTCTTCTGATCTATGTACCACTTCACCATTACGCATAACCAAGAAGCCACTATCACCGATATTAGCAGTATACAACATCTGATCTGTTCTATTTAAGACAACAACACATGCTGTACTACTACCTGAAATTAAAATGTAGTATCTTAAAATTCATGTGCCTTGATCTCATTTACCATTCTATTTAAAGCTGATAATATAACCCATTATAGAAGAGGGATAAAATGGGATCTAGAAAAATGTTACTTGTATTTTATATGAACCATTAAATAAAAAATAAATTTCAAAATAACAATCAATTTAAAATACATTTTTAGAATAATAATCTTCCCCCAGTCTACCAAAATCACTTTAGTGCCACTTATGTTTTTAGCACAATATGCATTAGTTTAAGTTAACTAAGCAGAGAAACTATCAAAAATAGATCCTAAAGTCTCGCAATTTTTTATCGAAAGAAATGTATAACAATACAACATAAAATGTCCATTTTATTTGTACAAACTGTACAGAACAATACAATAATCACAGCATTATTATTATTGTTATGAATTTTGCATTTAGATAGCTAATTCTAGTAGAATTATAATAAATGTGATGTACATGATAAATTTTAAGGGAAAGCTATGCCGAAAAAATAAAAATATAAGAGCATGTGAATTTAACATTGAATAAATGGATATCTCTTTTAATTGTAATGAATTTGAATATATGTAATTGACTACTGTCTTAGCCGTAACCGTAATTCCATCGTCTCGTTGGTTTCCAGAAATCTCGAGAAGCAAAGATATTGCTAGCGATTGAACGCTTTAAAAAGCTGAAGAGAAGAATCTTAGCTCAGTTGTTTAGCTAGCTAGCTACTCTTGTTATTGTTGATGGGATTAGCTTTCTCTGTGCTGTGCTTTGCATTCTATTTAACATTTTTTTGTAGTTTAAAGTATAACTACTGATTATTACTGCATGATATTGTGAACACTTGTACATTTCCGAGAAAAATTCCAGCATTCTGTTATATTTTTTTTCACAATAATAAATTTTATTAACCTTTCATCAGACTTGTGCATTCAATCTGTTATAAAACTGTACACACGCAACATTATGTAAATAATCAATATTAGTTTAAAAAAATACAACAAAATCTTTTACTGATATTGTGCTATCATTAAGCACAAAAAAAAAAGGGAGATAAAAATAAGCTAATTTTTAGATTAAATTACATTAAAAATCTTTTTGATGATAATGAGACAAATCCGACATTTTTTTTAAATCAACACTAATTCTCACAAAGTTAAATCCTAGATGAAAATTTCTAGTGTGAAAACATCTTGCATTGTTAAAAGCAAGATGCGCTTGCTTTTAACAATGCTCCCAAAATTTTTTCATTTCAAGTCGGGGATATGTTAGGGACATTATTTGATTTATATTATTTGATCAATTTCCTGGTTACTCTAACAACAGGAAAATAAACATTCATTTTTTGTCTAATTTACAGAGATTTGGCTTAATTCTCCTTGTGTTCTTATTATTAAAAAAAAAAAAAAAAACAGTCAAAAGATGTTAATTCGGACACCCATAATCCGGACCTCAAAGCTACAAACTTTCTGCATATTGTCACATATTGACACATACTTACACGCATGCGTCAATATGACGCATGCGTGTAAGCCCTTTACGGCTGCAAATATGCGTGTGCGCATGCACATAATACATTTACGCATGCGCATTTAATGTATAACAGACGGTATAAGCTAAGCTAAAATTATCTAATTATCTATTTCAGTTAATGTTGCAGATTGCGTTGTTTCTTAATCTTCAAATTTGATCCGGCTTATTATTTTTTGCAGACTGTTAGAGCAATTTTATAAAAGTAAGCTTGAACTTTCGATTATGTCAAATAGAATTTCCGATATATATTTACTAATATGTAAAGGATCTACAAAGCGAAAGTATGTTTCGATGTCCATTAAAAAAAAAGTGGAATTGCTGCAAAAAATGGATAAAGGCATATCCATTTTGGGGGGGGGACGCAGCAGCGCACAATGAATTGGAAGTTGATCTGTCAGCACTATCCTTATCTTCAGGGCAGATGTTTTTATTTTATTTGGCTTATAATTCCTTACTAAATGTAGTATTTCATCTCGATGTACTCCGTCTTTGATATGATTTAAATCAAATTCCTCGTCATTATAATTTGCTTCCGATAGTGAAGAAAGTGACACAGAGGTTATTGAAAACGAAAAAATTTCGATTGACAAATTAGTTGGTATTTTCGACACAGCAATTATAGGACTTGAACAGCGTAACTAAAGAAGAAATTATGTCTGTTTATAGAATTAAAGAGAAAGTATTATCACATAAAACGAAGCAACTTAAACAACTTACATTGAAAGAAATGTTTAATAAAGTAAACAAATAAATATTAAGCTTTCTTTTTTTTTTTTTTTTTTTTTTTTTTTTTTTTTTTTGTAAATTTTGATACTTTTTAGATCATAATTGTTCTTTATTTTATAAATTACGGTTTCATATTTTTAATTTTATAATTTCTGCATGCCACCTTACCAGATTTAAGCTGATGATCTATAATCCGCAATCGACGAAGTCTCGACGAGTCCGGATTAACGACTTTTGACTATATTAGCTTCAACAGCTATTAAAGTAAATGCTGTTGAGCTGAGTCATGATTTTAGACTCCCTTTTTTTTTGCTGATGTGCTTGCTTTTAACAATGCTCCCAAATTTTTTTTATTTCATGTCGGGGATATGTTAGGAACATTATTTGATTTATATAACTATCAATTTCCTGGTTACTCTAACAGGGAAATTTGAATGATAATACTTAAAAAGCCACACCTGAAATTATTATAATATATAAAATTTCATTCATCATCTATAAGCTTCTGCCCATATTGGGATGAAATAAATGCCTTCTAAACTTTGAAGCCCCCTCCTTGAATTTCTCGACCTCTTATATACTCCGAGAGTATTTTTATTCAATTTATTTATTTATGATTTTTAAATGAGATCAGTTTTAACTTGATATCTTCTCTTTTTGAGTAGCTCGATGGACAAAAAGGTCTGACTCTTCAGAGAACTTTTGTTTAAAAAAAAAAAAAAAAAAAATTCATATTCTACTAATTTCTTTTTTGGATAAATTTTTCCAAATTTTTTATTCTGCGATCTTTATACAGTTTTGAAACTAAATAAATAACACGACATTTCACATGGTTCCAGCAATTAAATAACACTGCTATTATTCTGAAATACATAGCATCTAGAAAAATTCACCTATTTACCTACTAGCTCACAGTTAGTCAATAGGATTGTCTCATTCCTATCTGGGACAATTTCTGACAAGCCTAAATTTTTCCTAATAAATTTTACGAAATATTTTTTATGATAAAAATTAATTTATATGTCTCACGATAGTGATTTTTTTAAAACTGAGTCATTGCTTAGTCCTCGATTAGCATTTTGTTATTTACAAGCATTTGTTATTTACTGATTTACACTTACCTACTATCTGATCCTTATTTTCTTTTAGTTCATAATAACTATTAGCTATAAGATTTCCAGGACTTCTTGGATTAAAACGTCCAGTCACAACAAGTCTTTCACAAGTTTCCATCAAACTGTATGAAAACCGTGAAGGATCAAACCCATAGTCTCTCCACCCTCCAACACCATCAGCTACACCTATAAAACGTACAAAATTAAAGTTTTTTTCCCCTCCTCAAAATAAATTTAATAATAAACATAAAATAAACTAATTCTTAATCTAAACAAAAGAAAACTGCATTTTCACTGTACTGCAGTTTCAGAAACAAATGATATATAAGCAAAATACATTTCTTATTAACCATTTGCACTCTAAATCAGTTACTTTTTATTTATTTCTCCTATTAAATTACAATGAATTAAAGGAAAATACATAATTATTATAATCATGAAATTTCCTAATTAAATTTTTACCTCAAAGATGTTACTTCTTCATTCTGGAATGCAATCCTATCCATAATAAACAAATGTTGCATAGCATTTTGCATGTAACTTCAATATTATGAAGGCCAATGTTCAATACTACCCAGAGTTAATGATTAACTTAACCTTTCCTGGATTTTTTAACTTCAGACCATAAATATTATAAATCAAAATAAGCTTTTCACTGTTGGAAGGAAAAAATATGAAAAATTATCTTAGAAAATTCAGTCTTATGTCCTGAATCCAGGATTACAGAGAAATAATAAAAACCATGATAGTTACTAAATGCAATTTTTGTATTGCAGAGGTTAGTTCTGAATTTTATTATACGAGGTTGGTGAAGTGCAGAAGGTTGCCACTGCAACTGCCATGCTAAGAGGTCATGGGTCATAAGGTCATCAGAAAGAATCTACTAGGATCTTCTAGTGAGAGTTACAAATTTGATGCATTTAAGGTTGCACTGTTAAGAGTATTTCCTCATCTTAGAGACGAAGTTGGAGTCGGGGGTTATACGGTAAATATCATATCGGAACAAACAAACCGCCTCTCAGATTCCAATGAAAAAATAGTTTTGGTTTAATAAATGAAGAACTGCCAAATAAGAAAATCATATTAACAAAATCAGTATAGTGGCTTTGTTAAATACAAGGAAGGGTGTAGAGTAGTCTAGTGGCTGAAAAGTTTTTCAAGAAAAACTTTACAAAGTGTAGGTTGTGGGAGGCTACAGGAACAACAGTGCAAATATTGTGAATTCATTAAGGCATGTGATGCTGAATGTGCAAGTTCAGAATAAGCAGCAGAAGGTGATATTTTTTGGAAAGCATATTTAGGAACTAAATCTTTTTAAAGCAGCTAGTGTGTGAACTGATTATTAGGAGGATTCTAATGAACTGATTCACCAATGTAATCAGAGACAAAACATGTAAAGAAAAAGGAAGTACAGCCACTAGCTTTGGACTTTAAAGATCCTCTGATGGAGAAGAAATGGCTAGAACAGCTGGTAAGTTAATGAGACTTTAGGATTACTCCATGTGTGAGTCCCAAAACTACCCAGAGAACAGCCCCACACAAATAGAGCAAAAATCCTATCAGTACGAAAAGGTCAAAGAAGACACAAATGGGAAACATATTTCAGAAATGAAAACAAAACAATCCACACAAGTAGACATTACACTAGCCCTGTAGATTTATGTAGAAAGAAGAATAATTCACCTGTCGCCAATTTTAAGGCATGCAAATTTCCTATCAATTACAGGAAATTAAACAGTACAACAATATAGCCTATTTACCCCTTACCAATAATTGAAGAAATAATTATAAAAATCAATTATAAAAATCAAGTCCACAAAGTATATGATCACACTGGACCTCACTTTCAGATACGAGTAAAACCTGAAGATCAGTATGAAAATGGCATTTAATATTAAATCAGGGACGTATAGATATCTCATGATGGCATCTGGCATTTGTAGGGTGTCTACTAGATTTCAGACCACCATAAAGGCATGTACTAGGCAAATTATTTATATATTTGGATGACAGAAGTCATTAGTAACACAACTGATATGCATACCCAGGATTTACACAATGTTTTTATGCTTTTAAAAGAAGCAGGTTTAAGAGTGAGAGTAAAAAAAAAGGTGTGAAAGTGAATCTGCAGTCAAAGAACTTCAGTACCTGGGATATGAAATATCAGAGCATGAAAAAAACAGAAGAATCAAAATTACCTGCCACCAAACACTGCCACAGAAATCAGCATTACTTTTGGGTTTGTACTCATGTTATAGAGAATTCATTAAAAGAGTCCTTCAACTTCAAAAATAATAATAATTATAACAATTTATCTTTTACATATTTTTATCTACATAATATGTAGAAGATAAATCTTAATTTAAATTAGCAATAACCTCTTAATGCTTAAATTGATTTACCCTCTCTATTCTAAAAATAGTAATCTCTTTCTGCACTGCCTCATTTCGAGACTAATCCATGTCATATGACATAATGATGTAAATAGAACTGAAATTCAAAAAGCCAATAATAATTTTACAGCAGTATTAATTATGCAATCAAAATACACTAAGAATCAAAACTATATTTGTCTGAATTCAGATTTCATCCTGAACATAATGCACTTCCTTTCTCTATACTTCGGCCTAGCAGGACTGCTACTTCCTTCTTACTGCAAACTAAGGAAAATTTAAAAATTGTTGGAACACACACAAATAATGTGCCAGGTTGTGCTGCTCCATTCTTACTGCAAACTATCAAAATGTCATTTTGAAATAGACACAAGTAGTGTGTCAAGATGTTTGTAGCTGTAACATATTACTGAAGTAAAAATATTTAATCTGCTAAGTTCCTCTTATTTATCAAACACTGATAATGAACAACATATATGCCATCAATATTGCTAAGTTTGTTTCATTCTATATATATATTGTTAATTATATTCTGTTAACATCATTATAATGAAATATATTCATAATATATATATTATGATGTACATATTCTGTACAACAGTATGAAACTATTTTTTTTTTTTTTTTTTCATTAACATGAAAATTCCAAGTTATAATTTTTTCCTTTTTTACATCCTAAAAGATTCATTATAAATTCAAACACCTTTTTAAATACATATTTTCTAAATAAAAATACTACTTATCAAACAACTTATTAAGTACTTCAAAGTAAGAAATAAAAGTTATTATTTATTTGACTGAAATTACACCAGGCATATTTTTGAGACAGTAAACAATGGCTGACGCATGGCAACAACTGACTTGACGCCAACTTGGCAGCATTTCCAAAAAAAAAAAAAAAAAAATGGCAACTGTTTAAAGTTAGCAACCACACCCTCAAAACTAGCCAATCATTTTCTTGCATCAACAAGGGTGCTACCACTTAAAAAAGTAGTTAAATGGAACATTGATTACACAATGAGAAAAACCTCTCGACTATCATAATCAAATTTTGACCTTCAGAACTTCAGATAAAATTCCACAAATGTTGTTAGTTGACATATTTAAACTTTGAAACAATGCTATATACTTCATTAAATGAAAATACTGATAATAAGTACTGTTTAATTAAATGAAAATACTGATAGAAGCAAAGTAAAAATTTCAACAACTGAAATTTTGCTTTATTTCATTAATTATACATTTATGTAAATTAACATTAAAAATATAGCAATAAATCTTGCAAAATGATACACAGGGATACATAAATTAAAAATTTTGTTTCATGGAGCTACATGGTGTTTTTAATAATTCCCTATTTAAATTTTAAAACATTAATTATAAATATCAAAATATGTCTAATATTTAATACTTGAATTTTTTAACAATCATTTCAGAAACCTAACCTTTGTGTGAGATATATATATTTCACAGAAACAGAACTAGTCCTATTCGATTAACCCCAGCTACACATTGAGATCCAATTATAAGGATCATAAATTCTTCTAGGTGAAGTAAAATTTAACTTGTTATCAATTAATGCATTTTTTATCGATTTAGATATATAAAAGTATAAATTAATAATTACTATTTAAAACTAGACCATACATTTTTAAAAAGCAATTCACTAGTTGAAAATGTACAATATACAAGTTTATCTACAATACTTATATACTTATACAATATTTATTTTAAGGCAATCAAGAGAAAGGATTGTGTGTTCAGTTCCGTGGCTTATATAAATCTTCTCTAACTACATAAAATAATAAGTTCATCACAATATATTTATCTGAAAATGGAAAAAAGAATTATAAAAAAGATATTGGAAACTGATGTATTACTAACAACAAAGCTCTTTTCAGACATTTTTTAAAATCCACAAAATCTTCCATACATAATATTTATCGGTCTATATATATTTATTTATTTATCTATAAAACCAATTTATTAAAATCTTCTATTTATAACAGCAAAGACAAAGGGAAAATTAACCTCCACAAATAAAAACTGCATTGTTTAATTCTGCTCAAAAAGTATATTTTATTGTACAAAAATAAAAATATGCTATATCTAACTGCATAATTTTCTAAAATGTAATATATGAAAATACGAAATCTCACATTGTGGCAAAATACATTACAAATGTCCTCGAAATGCACTGTCCCTTGAATAGGTATAAATCTAGGAATTTTAAATTAGTAAAAGATGAAAAAAAATTATAATTTATAAAAGAAAGGTGGAAGCTGCATGTAACTTTAATGATATTTTAACATGCTGATGGCAGCACGGATATTCATTGTTCTTTTCGTGCGGCGGCGCTTGAATTAGCAATCCGTTTCGTGGTCTGTCCATTTTGTGAATCTCCCTAGTGAAGTAATAATAACAAAAAAGAAAAAAAAATTTTTTTAATTCGTACAAAGGATCTGCGAGGAAGACAAGAAAGTGATGCAAAGAATGCTATAAATACTTAGCAAGCCTAAAAGGTACTCAGTACGCCACAAATAGAGCAAAGAAAGTAACAACATATTGCGATAATTGTAAGGGCAAGCCGGCACTTTGTTTAGCCTGCTTTAAAAAACTGCATAGAAAAAATTAATAATTATATTTAATTTTTAAGTTACTTGTTTTGTATTGAATGTTTGATTATACTTTTGAAATGTTAATATATACTGTTGAATAATTCAAATAAAATATAATTTTGTACTACATATTTTTTTTATATACGAGCATGATCTATCGGCGAGTCATGCTGGCCCGTGAAACAATTATGCATGACCCACCGGTGGGTCATGCCGGCGTCAACGTGTTAATTTCAGTGTACGTATTTTATCGTAGTAACACGTAATTTTTGAGGTCTTAGATGGTAATTTCATTAATATAACTTTGCATCATCAGCATCTTCATAACAAACCTACTGAAGAACACAGTTTACTTTTCAACATTCCCCATTCCCAGCATATTTGTTGATCAAGTTCTTTGATTTCTACATTATTTTTGGTGACAGCTCTCCTGAAAGATAGTAATCGTAAAAAGAATCTTTGCCAACAGATAAAAGACAACGTAATTATTTATATTTTAGAGTTATCCAGATGTATTGTTATTCTAATTAATTATAATCACATAACAAAAATTCTTAAGTCATTATGTCATCTTTTTTTTTTTTTTTTTTTAAACGAAACAAGTGTTTCTTATAATGAATGAACTATAAGATCATAAATCTTTCATAACAAAAAAACCTAATGCAAATGTTAATGACACTGTACTTATATAATATCCACACAACTTGATGACTAAAGCCGAAATGCAGCGAGTTCAGTATTTTTAAGTAACAGATATTTTAGTTGTTTCACTTAAATTACTACCACCTAGTACTTTTTGAATTGATATGGCGTCATGCTTACACATCACAAACCACCTATTCTGGACATGGTAAGTACAACTTTACCATAACAAAGTATGTTAAATGGACACATAATTTTAATTTAATTTTTTTCCCTACTTAAATATTATAACCAATGAAGTAAGAAAATTTATTAAACAAAAAGATGACAACCAAAACATAAAATAAATAGTTTTTATAAATTTAATCTGAAAGAAAGCTGTAAGCACTTTTATAATTTTTAAATATTTAGATCTATAATAGCTACCCTTTAAATGCATAACTTCTATTAAAACAAGGCAGACTTAAGAATTCAGGTAATTTCAAATTATACTCCAAATCATACCAAAGGTATGATATGATATCAAAAGTGGCTGATTATTCAATACCAAAAAGCTAAATCCTTATTTGCAATTTCGTATTTGTTGAATAACAAATTTTCCCAGATACACAACACACACTTATATGGATGGAGAAATGGAAATAGCTTACCAAAAAAAAAAATCTTTCGCTTAGCAAATTGAGAATTTTCATTAAAATAATTCAGTATTAAAAAAAAAAAAAAAAGTCACGATTATGAATAAACGCATTTTTGTATATTTAAACACTTTCATCATATACTTTTCAGATATAAATGTAACAATGTGGTCATTAATAAGCTTCCGAACTGAATAATATCGTATAATGTGCACTAACTTCATACGTAATTACTCACATATATTTACATGCCAGTTCTCTTTTAAACTTCAAGAAAACAACTAGTTTCAATTCCTAAAGTATCGAAAGAAAATTTTTGTAAATAAATGCTTTTTATTGGATTAACGGAAACTAAAAATTAACTTCCAAATCTTAATTTATTACCGACTTTAAAAACATTACTAACCATACTACTAGCAAAGGACATTCATTTTTTCTTGAAGGTCACAGTCTGTAACTTCGTGTATATATAGCGATTCTTAAGTACAAGGGCTATTCTTTTTAACATAGACAATTACAGAAAATCAAAATTGCTTATACTAATAAGTAACGACTTACCTAATACATCAGCTGTTTTATACCTTGCAAAAAAACTTGCATCGTCCCCATAGCGTCCTCTACTTAGCCGTGCCGAAAATCGTGAAGAAACTTTAGGAAAACCACAAGCTGCTGTTAAAAGTCTGAAATCTCTTTCTCTTTTCCTATTTACAGCTGCTTCAGTGCTGCTGGAATAATTATACACTCCATTAAGTAGAGCACGAGTTAAAAATCGTCCATAAACAAGTACGGACTGCATTCTATCAGACAGTCCATAACATTCCCCTCGTTGGAAGGAGATCTCACAGTGAAATTTATTACGGTTTCATTCGCTTTACTATTGCGCAATATTGGTTTAAAAGTTTTCATTAAACACTGCACTATATTTTCATAAATCTTTTCGAAAACTAAGATCACACAGTCAGATGCGCTTTCATTCACATTTATTCCCACACCACGTGGTACGAATATATTATATAATATTACGCATTACATTCGGCAGAAACTCAATTAAAAAAAAAAAAACACCCGAATTAATACGAATAAAAAATAACCCCGAGATTCAATTAAAATTAAAAATATGTTAAACTAAATTTAAAATATCATTTGTTTCAAAAGAAAAAAAAAATAATCTCTTTTCCACTAAACTTTACAGAGATTCATTTTTTCAATAAATATAAAGGTTACTTAGATTTAAAATGTATTTAAACTAACACAGCGGACAAATGCATTTCTGCCAAATTAATCATATTTTTCATTTTTCATATATCTTCCCTCATTTAAGGTTTTAATGTAAAGAGACAAAAAAATACTCAATACGACTCATATGGAGATCTAAACCACAAGTGCTTTGTGAATATTTAATTAATTCTTCTTTTTTATAGCCAAGGATGTTCTTTATTTTCTAGCAACTTTTGGTAGACTGCTTTTTAATGACAAATCTAAGGAGCATCTGCTAAACTAAATAATAAAACGCATTCATAAGCACACTATTACTGGTTTTCATGAGTAGCTCAAAATGCCAGGGAATACTGCTCGAAAATCATTGCATGCTGTAGCATTTTAGAATGTAATCTGTGAACGGCACCAGAAATACACAAAAGAATTTATTTTATAATTTTTGCAAGCTTGCACTTTGTTGTGCATTATATTCATAAAAACGTTTCGCTGGTCAAACCAGATACCTCTTTCTTTCTAAAATGGAGAATTAAAACATCCATTGTGGATTAGATTTAAAGAAAATATCGCCATCGGAAAAGGTGGCTTCAGTCGTTGGAAATTTATGAAATGGCGATTAGGTGTATGATAAATAAAGGTTTTCTCCTCGTAACAGGAATCTTTTTTTTTTCCCTCATATATAACAAAATTATGAAATTGTTACAAACGCATCCTTCAAATCCTACGGGTGCAAAAACTTAACACACAATAAGAAGTGCACAAACAAGAGTCGCTATCGTTGCAATCTTAATAGATCTGTAATTTTGGTTTACAAGAAAAATGAATGGTGTTAGCGAGCCGCCGAATGAGAATAAAGAACCTTCAAATATTCAAGAAACGAACGAAGGTACATTTAATGACCCAGAAAGTGAACTTGAAGTAAATGAAACTTTTGAAAAGAGCCAAAATGATCATTTAAATAAGACTCTATTATGTTCATTCTTGGAAAAGCTGAACCAGACACCAGTGGAATCAGTCGAAAATGGTGTTGATGTGAATGAAGATAACGAAGATGAATTCAAAGATGAGGACGGTGTTTGAAAATTTCCCAATATTTCAATAAGAGGGAAATATTTGGAAAAAAAAGCTGTTATTTTTCTTCAGAGTTTTGTCCCGTCTACCATCGAACTGCATCGAAACTGCTATTAGTGTATGTTGCACTTAAAATTCAGCTAAAAAAAAAAATCAGAAGTTTATAAAATGTGTGTTAAAATGATTTGAAATTCATTAATATACACTAGTTCAGTAGAGAAAATTTGATTACAGTTTGTAACAAGTTGTGATATATGTCTAAATTACGAAATCCATTGCATGCGTAATTGTAATAAATATAAATAATACAAATTGTTCAATATCGTTGAAAATTTAGATTATGTGAAATTGATTTATTTGAAAATTATAAATCATTCTGTTTTTGAGAATTTTAAGGTAGCAGTATATAAATTTTACAGAATAACATAGATTTTACATGGGTGTTTAAATGTGTATACTTTTTTAATTGTCAAAAATTCATTTTGTAGTGTGAAACATTCTCATCTAACAGTGTATCAAAGGGGATAAATCAAAAATTTTTGTACATGAAATTAACTTGTTTCATCAGATTACGTATAAATAATAATTTTGTGTTTTCGCTTGAAAACGGAATCAGGCTAAGAAATTGGTGAAATTAAACAGAAAAACCAGTTAATAGGCTTTAAGACATTCCCCCCCCCCAAGTAAATTAACACAATGTTTCTTCTGTGGTTTACATATTATACTATTATACTGTCTGTTTCTGCCAAGAATGTTACTTATAGCACTGTGATTGGAAAATAATCTGTATGCTTTGCCTGCTTGGCAACACTTTCAACCTCTGAATGTTCGCAAAAAACATTTTTGAAAGAACTTATGTTCAGAAATGTATGGTATCTGTTTATGTTTATTTAATTGAATATGGTGCACTTAAGGGGTACCCTTTAAATTAGTGGTTATTATTTCACCCCTTCTCTCATTCCCTCTCCTCTTTTTCCAAACTCAATGAATATGTATTTACCTTTATTTTCATACATTAAAAAGTGTACAAATTTATGATAAATAACCAAAACATGAGTAGTAGTTTTTTTTTTTTTTTTTTTCGATATTCATGAACTAAAATTAAATAATAACCAAGTAAATCTCTCTCTGGTTGAGAACCCCTGCTTTAAATTCTTGACAAGCATTATTGTAAAAAAATAATACGAATTGCATAATAATGTATTTAATAGAATTTCAACCCTGGATATTTTTGTAACAATGCTTATATTTTAAGATAGCTATTGTGGATAGTATAGAAAACTAGCAAAACTTCCATTAATGGATAGTTTCTAAATTTGTAGATGCTGAAAGCAGACCACCAAAAGATTCTCTCACAGACTTGATTTGGTTCCATGACTTGCACAAACAATCAACATTTAAATGCGATTTCTAAGTGGAAAAAAACCCACCCTGCAGTCTTCCCATTTAGATGGCCCTACTTGTACTTGGTTTGTGTGCATGCATTGCGACTTTCGGTGATGTAACAATTTTAATAGCCAGCAGTGTATTTTTAGTATTTCAAGTTTTAAAAAATGGCAAAAATTATGTAACTTGTTATTTTTTAACATATCTGTATGTATTAGTTGATTAATAACCTGTAGCATTCAAACTGTTGCTTTTGATATATTTCGATAGGATTAACTATCGATAAAAATCATAGCTTCAGTCACAGTAAATTGTTTGATGCATACATAACACGTATTACAAATTACTGATTTGTTATCGATCTTCATGCATCTATTTTGATTTTCTTTGACATTGATAAATAAGCATAATGCAATAGTATATTTAATATTATTAAGTGCCAAGCCTGTTTTTTGCCTCTGTATATTTAACTCATGATATCCAGTTTTATTGATAAGCTGACGGTCAGAGTTTCGTATAGAATTTGACAGAATATAATTTCTTAAATTTTATATCACAGTAATAAATATGTGGCCTAACAAAAGTACACTGAGAGTCATCAATGACTAATGCAGCCTGAAAATGTGTCAGTCAGAATTGATCGATGTGGTCCAAAAGGAAAGTATAGTGTTTGTCACCGGAGACTGACATGACTCATCGTATTAATTTGTCAGCCTTTGTGAAAAATAAAATTGGGTTAAGTATTTGCACCTGGATATTTTTCAACAATTTGTATTCTTATTTCTAAAGCAATACAGGTTCCTAAAATTTAGGATGCAAATCGATAATTAGGATCATAGTTCTTTAAGTACACAGAAGTGGATAACGTAATTACAGCGGTACCTCATATAACAAACCAAATCCAATTCAGAATGGCATTTGTTACTCTAGTTTTCCAAAAAAACTGAAGGAAAATCACAAAAACATATTATTCAAAAATTAAAGTAAGTTAATGGGTTAATAATAGGTAGTAATGTATAAATACAAAAATAAGATGTTTTATTTTCAAAATTAACTTATGATACGTTTAATTATTATGGAATGTGATTACCTTGTACAGCAACGTTCAAGGGGCATAGCTAGAGGGGGGGCAAGGGGAGGCATCTGTCCCCGGGTGACAAACTGATGTTACGAAATTTTAGAATTAAATGTTTTCCATCCTTGGTAAGCAGTAGGGGTCACGAAATCTTCAGTTGTCCCTGGGCACTGAAAACCCTAGCTACGACTCTGGCAACGTTTGATGCTGAATTCCTTTTAGCTCAACAATGGCCACTGAATTGGCAAGCCTCTTCTAAGTGCATCAGTCTGAGGATATTTCAGAGCAGCAACAGTTTTACAAAAGCATCCCAGATATGCCCAAAAGGATGAAAATCTGGACTGAGTTAGCCATTCCATGTGCACTGTTCTTTCTTACTAAGGAATTTTTCTGTTATACAAGCCATATGCAGTGCATGCTACCCTAGCATTTTCTCTGATTGCACTACAGTCAAATACCACCGGAAATCCACGTTGGCTCTCGGAATATAAATATTCAGGTTATAGGATCCGGAAACACAACTAGTGCTGCCTTTTTTTTATTCGGATATTTTGTGGATAAATTAAAAATATTTTTAATTTCAGCCGTTTTTAATACAATATCAGATTAGAAACTCACTCGTGATTTTACTGCTTGCAACGTTGAAAAACGTAAACACGTTATATTGACAGTAACGCAAAAAGTGCAAATTCTGCAAAAGATGGAAGCAGGTGCTATTCCTCGTTTTATAGCAGAATGGTATGGAATTGCAACATGATTGTGTATGATATACCGAAAAATAAAGAAAAGCTGTTGAATTTTACAGCAACAGTGATTCTAACACCGGAATCCGAAATTGAAATCTTTTTACGAGGCGAAATCGGCAAACCTCGATGCTGTGTACATATAATGCAATGAATAATATAATCAATTTATATATGTAATAATAATTTAATACATATAATAAATTATTGCAATAATGTATATAATAATTTAATTAAACATATCTAATACGCCTCATTCATTTTGCACTTTTAGTCCGAATATTATGCTTTATCTTTTCTGCCTTGAAATCCGAAAAATCCTAAAATCCGCGCAACCTCCGGTCCCAAGCTTTGCAGATTTCTGGAATTCTACTGTATATATAGAAGGTCAGTTATTTCGATAAAACCAACTACAGAATGTTTTCAAATTAAGATAAACGATAAAAATTTCAATTGTGCGCTTCTCATGTAAGTTGATGAAAATATGAAAATAAG